TCCCGTTCGTGTACGTTCCCTCCAAAATTTCTGCGTTGCAAGCTGCACACATGACACGCACTCTCCTGCATGCGTAAATGGCGGGTGTGCCCTTCCCTTGATTTGCTCGCGTTAAGCGTACGAACCGGGTCAAAGCTGAAGCGATAGCGCGCCGCCCGCTCAAACCTCCTCCTCCTCCTCCGATCCAATCGCCTCCTCCTTCGGCCCTTCCCTTCCATCGGACCGAACCACACGTCCCGCACGTCGACGACGCCAGCCTCTTCCTCCTCATCCTCCTGTCCGCACCGCTGCCGACGACGATGTCGTCGCCACAGGCGATCCAGAGCCCCAAGGCCGCCGTCGACTCGCTCGTCGCCATCCTGGGCCGCGCGCTCCCGGACTCCCTCGCCGCGGCCGGCGACCCCGCGGCCGCGCTCCTCCACGACGACGGCGTCGCCCGCGCCGTCACGGGACGCCTCCGCGGCGCCGGCTCGGGCGCCGGCCAGGACGCCCTCTGCGGCTGGCTCTACGGCGCCTTCCAGTCCGGCCTCCCGGCGCTGCAGCTCGCAGTGCTGCGCTTCGTGCCGACGCTCGCGGGCGTGTACATGTCCCGCGCCGTCTCCCGGAAGCCGCTCGCCGGGTTCGAGGCCGTGCTGCTCACGCTGTACGCGCACGCCGTGGCGCAGCGGGGGTCCGGGGAGGCCGAGACAGTGACGCTTCCCAACATGAACAAGCCCAGCGTGTACCACGAGGCGATCAAGCCTACGTCCGCGGCGCCGGCGGCCAAGCCGGGCAAGGCCGACGACCCCGACGTCGCCGAGCTCTCCCCCGCGCTGGAGCCGCACGGCACAATGCGCGCCACGCGCCGCGGCCGCATCGTCGGCGCGGTGCTGGAGCTCTACCACTCCAAGATCGGGCTCATGCCGCTCTCCTCCAAGATGGACTTCTGCGAGTTCTGCGTCGCGTGGACGGGGAAGCACCGCAGCGACGACAAGGCCCGGATCGCGTCCGCCGAGAGCGGCGAGGAGAAGTGGCGGAGGGTGCCTATGCCGTGGGAGCTGTTCCAGCCGGCGCTCCGGATCGTGGGGCATTGCCTGCTGGGCCCGACCAACTCCGACCAGCTGAGGACGCAGGCCGCCCGGGCGTCGCAGTGCCTCTACCTGAGGGCCATGGAGATCATGGACGCGCGCGCCGTGCTGGCCTGCAGGAGCCTCGTCAGGCTGTCGCAGATGGTGGAGGAGCCGATCCCGGAGCCGTCCTTCGCCGGCGTCGAGGCCAACATGGCAGAGCTGGAGACCATGAGGGCCAACATCCTTAGCGGCAAGAAGTAACCCATCGATCGATCAACACTTGACGAGCAGCAAGCAAGTCGATTCATTACTGATCAGGGCGTGTAATTCAGGCATTGCAGGCAAGGCTGTTGATGTTGTATAGCGTTTTTGTAATCTTTTTCGTTTTGTTAATCAGACATTCTCATTTTACTATGATGAGAAGAATCGAATGGTGAAACAAATTGCTGAGCACTAGCAGAGAAGTCACTGGCACCTGTGGATTTTGGTTCTGCAACTGCAGAATAATGTTTGCGGATATCTGGGAGAGGGACAGAGAGAATGCCAAGAACAACATTCGTTCGTGCAAGCTGCATTTTACTGCTGTTCTGTTTCCCCTGGACGAAGAGGAAACGGGCACAGGAAGCAAGATGATCTCTTCGACAACACGCATTCATTTCAGACAAGAGTAGAGACAGAGTAATCAGATTCAGGAAACCACACCACCTCTGGGAATTCATTCATTCGGATGATCAAACCAAACTGAATCATCAATCAAAAAGCAACAAGCAAGCAAGCTCAGTAACTAGGAATTCAGCCACAGCTATATACTATGTACAGTACATGAATAGCATTTTGTCTGCATTTTCTTTTGTTAATCAGATGATACTTATTATATCACCTTCTGCAACTTAAGAGTTATGTTGGCTGATTTCTGAAAGAGGAACAGCGTTTGATGCTGTTTTATTTCCACGGCGAGATGATCATTTCTTTCAGACTAAGACTAGTCAGATTCTTGTAACTAAAATTACACAGGGAATTCATTCAATCATTCAAGCAACCAAACCATATCAATCTTAAAAAAGACGACCGAGCAACATATGTTCGCATATAAGAAACCACATAGGAGTATATATTCCTCCCCTCTTGTACTGATCGATCGACTCATTCATTCAACCACGACAGAGCCCAGAAGACACCAAGGTTTTTTCCATGCCATTTCAGACTCCCGAAACATCACAACCCACAACTTGAGATGAACATCGTCGTCAGGCAGACAAGATGACATGACAGTACGGCCTCTCCTTCTTCGCCTTGAAGCCGCGCGCGCTCAGAACTCCTGGGAGGCCGAGCCCAGATCCCCCTTGGGCCCGGCCTTCTTGGGCAGCAGCACCTGGTTGATGTTGGGCACGACGCCGCCGTTGGCGATCGTCACCGAGCCCAGCAGCTTGCTCAGCTCCTCGTCGTTGCGCACCGCCAGCTGGATGTGCCGTGGCACGATCCTGGTCTTCTTGTTGTCCCGCGCCGCGTTCCCGGCCAGCTCCAGCACCTGCGTACGTATCCGGCGGCAATGGAAACGATCAAATCAAATCAAACCCCAATCCGATTCGAATCACGGACGACGAACGATCGGGCGCACGAGATCGGACGGGCGCCGATTGACGGAGAGAAAAGGGGAAGGGGAATCGACGAAGATGGTTTACCTCGGCGGCGAGGTACTAGAGGACGGCGGAGAGGTAGACGGGGGCGCCGGCGCCGACGCGCTCGGCGTACTTGCCGGCCTTGAGGTAGCGGGCGATGCGGCCGACGGGGAACTGGAGGCCGGCCTTGGACGACCGCGACACCGACTTGGTCGCCTTCGCCTTGCCGCGGCCGGCGACGCCCGCTCCGGTGGAACTCATCGCCGATTCGCCTTTGGGGGGAGGTCCGGAAGCTTCTAAACCCTCGAGAGGTGGGGACTGGACTGGGGATTTATAGCGTAGGGTTGGGGCGCGAGGCGCGCTGCGATTGGCTGGGACGGGGGAGGCGCGGATCGGTGACGTCGGACGCCACGCCAGCTTGGGCAATAAATTGCTTCTTTCCTTTTTTATTTCTTTTCGGAGTGTTTTTGTTTTAATTCACCTTTTTTTTCACGGAAAAAAATAACTGGTTATATGGAGGCTGTTCGTTTTATAGAAAATCTGAGGGTCATGTGTAGCATGAAAAAGAATGTATCACGTGCACGCGAGTAGACATGCATGCATGCATGCATGCATGCGACTAGTGCAGATCTTGTTACCTGAACTTTATATTGTTGTATTGTATATAAGCTGCGGTATGGTCATTCTGAACTTTATAGGGTGCTTATATTTCACTCATACGAAACTGATGGTGTCGATTTGTTGTTGCATAGCTTGCGTACGCAATGTTGAATTTATCGTCCATACATTTTTAATTTAGGATTGTCAAACGGCGCAGTCAGAACCAGGAGATTGGGCAAACTATATGGAAAAATACATGGATGAATCCTTGTTAGGTATGTACCCACTTAAAAAAACACATTTTTAAATGCTAAAAAAATCAAAAAAGTTGCATGCGCACATCTCCAAATAACTGTTTGGAAGGTTGTTGGAGCGCCTGTTAACCGAATGCCAGGACATTGAACTCGTAGTGGCAATTTTGTGAGAATGAAACACGGTTTTGTACTCTTCGCCTATGGCCAACCGAATCCGATGGTAACCTGCTCACGAAGCTTTGAAAACTAGGAATACCTACCAATTCATCCAGGAGTTCATCGATAACAGGCAAGAAAAACTTGGACCTGAGAGTCAATAAGTTCAAATATATGTAATCAACACATAGACGCCATGTCACGTCCTAGCGCACCATGATATGTGAGGCAAAGGGATTGGAACTATGGACTATCACTACAGATTTGCGCATCTCACCCACCCGCACTTCAATTTCAGACTTCAACTCTGATGAATATCTATAGGGCTGGATATCGATTGGTTTAGCACCCTCAATTAAAGGAATTATGTTTTGCAAGCCCTATGAGGTGGTTGGCCAGTAGGAGTGACGAAAACAAACTCGTATTCACCGTCAACCATTAGGCATTGCCAAAAAATTACAACTCCATAGTAGTATAAGAAAACTTAGCCGGTGGCTCACCTTGCAAACACAAAAACGCCCTTGTAATCAAATGGCAGCCACTTTTGATGACAATTGACACTCATCATTCCTCGGGCTAACAACCAACCAACCAACCCATGCCAATAATACCATCAAAGTGCTTAAGAGGCAGAATCTTAAATCCAATAGTGAATTGAAATCCAGCAGCTGACCAAATACGTTAGGGAATCTAGTGTGTGCAATCCAACTACGCCCCAGCGAGTCACAAACTCTGCAGTTTATTCAATGGGTGTTGATGAGGTAGCTTACAAGTAAACTGCTGACCGAAAAAACTAATGAGTAATGCCTAAATCAAGTAGCAATGTAGCAGCCTGATCGTCAATGATGCAGTGGAGCTTGATGCCCTTGTTGTGAGCCTGATTAGTTTGAGCTTCAACAGACAATAATCATCGTCAGTGTCATCTGAATTAACTGAATCAGAACCACATGTTACCAGCATTTCATATAAGCCACATCCGTTGCTACCACACATCCAAATTACAACAACAAATACATAACCGACTGGATCAACGTATGACCCACCACATAGCACCTAGAGTAGTCGGCAAGTGGGTGGCAGGACCTAGCCGGGCCTAAAGAAGAAGACACGGAAGAGGCGTTGGCGATGGCATACATTGCACCCTGGAGGTCCATGTCCTGAGAGGCAATGCACACTAAGAACTAAGACGCCGCAAACTCCATCATCGAGAACTCCGCGAACAACCAAGGCAGCGCCTCCATGAAGGGAACGACGCCGTGACACCGCACGTCGCTTG